ATTAATTAGGCCCATACAGTACATTTCTCAGATCCTAGATTATTTGAAAAAATTAAAAAAAAAAAATCACACTAAAAACTGTATCTAGATAAAACACGATGAAGACTACAGGCTGAAAAATAAAGCTTCTAAAAACTCAGAAAATTTAGGTGTTCCACATAACTTAAGTCTAGTAAACTAACATTAATACCCTTCCTAACCATTTCAGAGTTTCTCCAGAAATACCAGATTCAGCAAATGCATTAACAGACACAGGTTAGCACACTGACTTACTATAGTCAGGTATACTACTAATCAAAACTTGGCATGAATACAATCTGATCCTAACCTGCAGGCCAATAAAAGATACAGAAAACAGTACTTATGTATACTGTATTCAAATACTCGTATTACAGAAAACAAATACCACCCAGAAATAAGATAGCTTCTTTATGGAGGACTTGAGGAACAGTTAAACACTCAAGTCACAGTACACAATGCACTATCAGTCTCTCCATACACAGGATTTAAAAGGAGCAAAAAAGGACAGACAAGCAGCAAAATATTTTTTTTTAATTTTTTTTTGTTTATTTATTTATTTATTGTGGGGGGGGGCAGCTCAGCCCACCAGGGGGCGGGGCGGGCTGGCATGTGGTGCTGGGGATTGAACCGCGGTCCCTGCGCTTTGCTTTGCTTAGCTTAGTTTGTTCTAAGTAGGTGCTTTAGACCAAGGAGCCATCTCACCAGCCCCAAGCAGCAAAATATTAACGCACCAAATTTTTAACATAGAAGCTAAGTGACAGTATATGGATATATATAGATCTGTTATACTGTAGTTAACTACAGTATTGTGGCTATGATCTTTAAGTTTTCAAAGCAAGTTAAGAAAAAAATCTGATTTGGTCACTCAATAACAATTTTCTCAATATTTCTAAGAGCATGTGTATACTGATGAATACTAAGAGTACAATAATGAGAAATGTTAACATTTTCCCACTTATTTTTTAAAAGAATAAAACCTAGAGATTAAGTACAAACAGGTTTGTAAATTTCCTTATATTCATAACAGATAGAGCCAGTAACATGAATCTCTACTTGAAGTTTCTAATGTTTGGTTTCCACAACAAGGTTGTCTTTAGCAAACTACTCAAGTTAGTAAGGTGTGTGGGGTCCTATTCAAGTTAGGCCTTAAGAAAACTGAAGAAAAAGAAAAGGGTTAAGGTCTTTCATGACAGATTCTAACCACCCAGGGCCTTACTAATATCTGCTCCATGAAACCCATGATTACCATTTACGGAAGCCATGCTTACTAAAAATGGGAGCAGGTCCAATCCCATCATCTCATTCAGCAACTCAACATAACTGAGAATGATTTCAGAAGCCGTAGGCTATAAAAATTTTAAATTACAATACAACTAGTGACAGCATACCTGTTCCAAAGTATAGCTGGATTTAAAAGAAAAAGAAAAAGAAAAAGAAAGCAAGTGAAGTGTAGTTGGAAGGCAGTTGTTAATGATCCTACAATCAAAGTAACTTTTTAAGATCTGGAGATTTTGTGTTCTAAAACTGGTTCTGTTACACATTTCTTAATCTTCAGAAATAAGGTCAACAGTTTTTTCACATTTGCAAAGTGAAGAAAAAGATGGAGACCTCAAAAGTATCAAAGTAGTCCCCAAATTATAAAGAGCTTATGCTCCAAGGTTTATCACTCCTTTGAGAACATGTTTATACTAATCAACCGATTTAATCCCATACCTTCTACGGAAAACAATGCATTCCAAATTTCAACTCCAAAAGCCCTGCAAGGAGAGACCTGCTTTTTTGATAACTACAGTTAAAATCGCAACCTCACAGAATTTTGTCTTTCTAGAGGGAGAAATCATTGTAATGGGAAAGAACAGAAAAGAGCAGCTCTCCTTACATAGGGAGCCTTTTAGATTGTTTGCATGAAACAAGCTACAATTTAACACAATAAAGATCATGGAAAAAGACCTAGCTAATAAAACAAACATTGTTACAACAAAAATATGTAGAAACTACACTTTGCTCCAGATAAAAAGATAAAGTTTAGTGCTGTGATCAACCGATTCTTTGGCTCATGTAGACAATATACTCTCAAACTGCTTTCTCATGCTTAACTCAACTGAGAACAGAATAACTAAAGTAAAAAGGAGATCATCCCCCCAGAAGTTGTCAAGTTTTTAAAAAATATTATTTAACATTATATACCGCATCTTTAACAAATGCTCAGATTTATAAAACAAATTGGATGACAACTTTGGCAGCTAATTTGAATTTCACACAACTTATGAACTGCTGTAAAATTTACAGAAGTAACTCACAGACACAGAAAGTAAGCTTTCCACTAAAAATGAATGAAAGCAAACATGAGAAAAAGGAGTGGGGGAAAGTGTGGTAGGCTAGAGTAAATTGGGTCTATAGTCAAAAAGCATGAGAAAAAATTTGAAGTATGATTAAAGGTCGCTGCCACTCTACCTAGTTAAGATGGTAATCAGGGCAAGTTCCCAGAGAGTATGTAACCTAGAATGTTAGACTCTGGTAGACCTGTTAAAAGTATTGATACTATCAGTAGTTTTGGAGGAAAATGGCTTTAACCATCGAAAGTAATGACAGATAAGAATATACTTACTCTTATTTTTTTTTTCAGCAAGAATGATTATATCAATAACAAATCCAACTAACTGAGATCCTCAATAAATGAAAAGAAAAACAAGAGGGCAAGGTATTTTTATCCGAAGCCTACTTTTGATTAAGTTACCTCAACTGGAAATGGTATGAGATTTATACTGACAAGTTTCTATCTATATTGATGTAGGGACAACTCATTTATTACATGGATCTCAACTCATTTATTACATGGATCTAACACTAGGAGTATAAACAATCAAGAATATAATGAATAACTATTTTATAACTATTAGTAAGCAGAATACCTAAATCAGTTAGGTTAAGACTTAAGACATATATACTTTTAGACAGTGCATAAAAATCCAAAAGATATAGTTTGTTTTGGGGCTTTTGGTACAGGAATCGAACCTAGGGGCTCTAGCTTGCTGGACAGGTGCTGTGCCACTGAGCTACATCCCAGCCCCAAAGGTACAGTTTTAACAAAAGGGTGTGTCAGAAATGTTTTAATACATGGAAAAACAGAAGCAAACATTTTTATGGGAATGACAAAGGGTCATGCCCTCAAAGTATATTCTCAGAGCTGGGGGGCAGGGGGGAGGACTTCCCCTAAGTCTTTTTTTAAAAGAATATTTTAAATTTGTAAAGCAGTCTAATAAACCTTTTCACATTATCAGTTTCAATATCGATCTCAGACTGATTTGATGCTTGTTTTAATTCTCTTTCAAAAAAAGAAAAAAAATGACAAAAATCACTTCATCATTCAGTTGTTACTCAAAATATTTGGTCAATCATGCACTTCTGCTGTTTCAATCTGAAAAGACACAACTTTCTACTTTCACATTGTTCAATAAATACTAGCAGTTTTCATTTTCTGGCTCCAATTTCATTTTTGTCTAATTTGCCTAAATGTTTCAAATACTATGTCTAGTTAATAAGACAACCTAGGGGGCCAGGGAGATGGCTCAGTGGAGTAAGTGCTTCCCTGGCAAGTGCAAGGGCCTGAGTTCAATCCCCCGGTTCCGCCAAAAAAAACAAAACAAAACAAAACAAAAAAAAAACAACTACCTAAGAGTACTATACCTAGTTAATAAGAATTCATGGATATTCTTAGGCTTACAAATAATCCACACTAATATATTTCCTTCCATAGTTCCAAACATAAAGGTTTAAAAAAACAAAAATGTTAGAAAAAAATAAAAGCTTCTAAAACAGGATTAAAACATCTTACAGAAGAATGTCACAGTAATTCACTGTTTATGTAAATTGAATTCTGTGAGCCCTTTTGGTGTTCAGTAGATACTGCAGTACAAATTTTTCTCTTCTTGAAAGCAGAATCTAAATCCAGTATCTTAATATATGCATAAATCACCCCCCAAATATTTATATTCTACATAGGTATTTAGTAACTCAAGAATATGCTCTGTGCACTTCAAATAACAAACATTCTAAAGTTTAGGTACAATTGTAAGGAAGTAAGATTTAACTCAAGGTTAACAGGTCAACAAGATGTCAGGTGAGTGAGTACCTTTTACTCAGGATGATCAAGTTGGAGAAAAAGTTGACACAATCTTACTTTCTCAGTTCACAGATGAATATAGTTTTTGATTTTAGCTTGTTTTAAGAGTAAGTTAATTTCCTAAATTTTCGGTCAGTTTCTTATTCTATGTGCAACTTCGGTAATGTAACCTAGGGCTCCCACCATTGTGGTACTGTTTGTTCTCTTAGCCACAAATCTTCATGCAGAAACCAATAAATGAAGTAAAGCAACGATTTTGATACTGTGCCTAACACACTGGGGGTGACAGTTTGGCTAACAACATAATGAGCTTGCCCCGAAAGGCAATCCTCTAGATGACTGTGGAACACCGAGGTGCTGAGTGCAGTTAAGGCCCTGACCATAATATAAAAAATTTAAAAAGCTTTTTTTGAAAATATCTAACTGTGAATAAGTAAGAGTCTCTAGCTTTCAGATCACTTTCAAGGTTATTATTTCCGTTCCTACAACCACATTCTCCTTTTCCCTTCTCATGTAAGAGCGAAAAGACGAACAGTAAGAACGTATAAATTGCGGGGCTGAGCAGGAAGGGTTCCAGCGCATCTGGACTCACCTCCAGCAGCAACAGGGCAACCGCCGGGCAGGTCCCAGCCCCCGACCAGCAAAGGCGCGCCGGCAAAAATGAAAGAGCCCGAGAGCTGCGGGCGGGAGTCGCCCCGAGCCGGCGGGCAGTACCCGCCGCCTCCAGCGCGGCGCGTCCCGCGCGGGACACCCACCCTGTAGGCGGCCGTCCCCCGCTCGGGGCAAACTTCGCCCGCGGGCAGGGGGCGCGCGCGGGGCCGCACCGGGCGCGGGGGGAGGGGCGGCGGGCACTCACCACGGGTCGAACTCGTGGATGATGCTTTCGAAGCGGATGACGGCGAACAGGCGCGAGCTGAAGCCGGCGAGCCAGGCCAGGAAGAGGATGGTGAAGGAAAGCAGCGACTGCCAGCCGGCCGGCTGCGACAGACCCCCGGACAGCCCCGCGGGGGCCGGCTTCGGCGGCGCCGCGCCGCCCGCCGCCTTGGCCGCGCTCTGGGCCCCGGGCCCGTGGTGGCCGTGCCGACTGTTCCCCAGGGCCATGAGGCCGCTCCACGCGGACGAGTTGAGGGACGACTTGTGCTTGCTCTCCGGGGCCGAGGGCTCCGCCATGTTGTGCCCCGGCGGCGGGTCTCGCGCTCCTCCGCGGCCGCCGCCGCCGCCCGGAGCGAGGGGTGCTGGGCGGGGACCCGGAGGAGGAGGAGAAGGAGGAGGAGGAGGAGGAAGAGGAGGAAGAAAAGGAAGGAGGAGGGAAGAGCTCAGCGCGCTCCCGCCCTCAACGCCGAGAGGCCAGGGAACTGGGAGTGGAGGCGGCGGGGAGTCTCCGCCTCAGCAGCGGCCGCGACCGCCGCTCTCTCAACCCAGATGGCCCCCGCGCTCCACTAGCCATCCGTGTCCCCAAGGCAGCTGCGGTGGCGGCGGTGAAAGCCGACGGGACGAGGGCGCCAGAGAAGGAGCAGACGGAGGCGGCACCACAGCCCGGAGAAGCAATGACATTCCCCCTCACGCCCGCCGGCCGCCCGCCCGCCGAGCCGAGCCGAGCCGAGCGAGGGGAGGAGCCCCCTGGAGTCCGGGCGGAGCTCAGGCAACGTCTAACTCCTCCCCTCGCCCAACAGGAACTGGCTCCTCCGCCTGTCACAAAGCGACAGGTCCGTTAGGGGGCGGGTGCAGAGTCGCGGCCCCCACCAATAGGGGCCCGAGCTGAGGCGGGGCTTAGCCAAGCGTTTAAGCGACTCCCCCTGCCCGCCTAGAGCCCATTCGCCGGCAGCGGCTGAGGTGCGTGGTTGTGGTTTCATTGTCAGTTGAAAGGCGCTGTTCCGCCCGCGCGTGCAGCTCCCTCTCTGGAGCTGAGCCTAGCGGACGAGGCGGAAGGCGGCCGGGCACAGGAGAACACCTGTGGTCCTGCTCGATTTAAGGGGCGCTAAGGGCACGAGCCCGACCGGCCGAGCACTTGCAGGCGCTGCGGTCGTGACTTTTAACCCGCTCTGCGCCGAACGCCCGCCACGTGACTGAGCGCGCAGGCGCGCTGCGGACCCTCCGGCGCGTGGGTCCGGCCGCCGGGCTGCGCTCCCGCCCGCCTGCGCCCGGCGCAGGTGCTGAGCCCCGCGGCTGTGAGCCGGCTGCCCCGCGCGCTGCGCCAAGCCGAGGCTAGTTCGCTGGCGCTGAAAACTTGTGCCCCTGCTCCAGAAAGATCTACCGTAGCAAGCAAAATGCGACTTCGCTCTCCTTTTATCGTTTCTTGAACAGTGTTTTCTGATTCCAAGAGTAATATCTCGTCATTGGATTTGTGCGCAAGTGCAGGAATTCATTGTTAAGGGCTCCAGACATTCCTTCAAACAAATGAAATTACTTAACTTGCCCTGGCCTATCAACTGTTACTCAATACTCGTTTTGGTAAGTGCAGTTGCTTTAAGCCACTAAAGACCCTGTACACGAATTTTTGCATGACTAAGACACTTTCCCATTCCCTACCCCCAAATAATTACCAAGTAGATTAAACTCAGAACAAAATGAGTTTAAATCAGGCAGTGAGATTAAAACTACTCAGCTAAGCCCCCAGCGGAGGTGCAAAGGTTGATACATAATCAACGCTCAACAGAGACTTGGTTAATTTTGCATGTAAGTTCACAATTGTCCACTTTATTAGAGAAGTAACATCTGAATTTTATAATGTTTTTGTGTAATTATAAAGACAATGATTTTAAGTCACGTAAATGTTAAAAATGCAAATTGTGTTTACGAAATACTAGATAAATGAGCAAGTATAATTAGTTTGAAGTTGCTCATTACTCTTTTAAGTTAAGTGATTAACTTTTCTCATTTCCTTACAAAAATAAGTGTACTCATTAAGAACGAGGTTTCTAGGAATAGACTTTTTCACCACCAATTTAATAGCCAACATATTTTGAACATCTGAAAAATTATTTTGATGTATTTTTAGTACAGGGTCTCATTACACAGATCGGACTCGTAGTGATTACCCTGTTTTCAGCCTTCCAAACGCTGGAATTACAGGCAAATGCCACCACGCCCAGTCTCAAATGCCATCGCAGCTGGGGGGGAGGGGGGAGGGGCTGGCATAGACGCCACCAGGCTCAAACTCCAATCCGCTGAGCTATCTGGCGGGACCTTGAACATCTAAACTTTAATGGGACTTTTGATATTAACCAGCCCTTTTTAGAGAGGATAATCTGCTCTTCCTTACAAGCAAAGTAGTTTTACCCTTGTTCTATGAACCAAACTCTACAAAATTTATTTTGCATGTTATTTTAAAACTTACTTGGCTATTGCTGTTATTTTTCATGTAGATGTTCCCTGTTGCGTTCTCTAGTATCTCCTTTTGTTTCCTTTTTTTTGGTTCGCTAATGGCTAGAAGAAACCTGTCTGAAAAGTGACAAGGCTCATTTCTGTTCCCAAGCTATTCTTTATTAGCCATGTAACACTGAACAAATCACCTTGCTGGGTTGCCCTTCCCATGCTTATATTGTTAATATTAAATAACTTACCTGAAAACACTATGGAAAATTGTTAAGAAACATGCAAATGTAGGGTAGTAATGGGGTGAAAGCATTAAAGCATTTGGATACCCCCCCTTTTTTTTTTGCTCTGAATGCCTTCAGGGCAGGTTTAGCTGGCTTGAGTTGTGGGGATCCAACCACAGCAACCTGAGCCTGACTGCTTTGTTGAAGCAGCCACTTAAAGACTTAAAGAATTGAGATGGGAGGGAGGAATGGCTCAGTGGAAGAAGTGCTTCCCTGGCAAGCAAAGGGGCCTGAGTTCAATATGCGGTTCTGCAAAGAAAGAAAGAAAGAAAGAAAGAAAGAAAGAAA